AAAAAAAAAAAAAAAAAAGTTTAACTAATGAAGTGATTTAAACATCTAATCTTTCATTAAAAAATATAAACTTAAAATGGTTAATATTTTAATTTGTTCGATGAAGGAAGGAGCTAGCCCTAATTAGTCAACCATCCTAAGTCTTCTCTCTCTTTCTCCCTATGAATAGAATAAGGCATGCCATAGCTGTCTGTTCATGACATGAAGAGCATGCAATAAGACAAAAAAAAAAAAAGAACTAAATGCATCCATAAATCAATAATTAGAGTTGACTCCTAATTAATAACAACAATAATGTTTACACACAAGTTAATGATTAGTTTAATCAAATGGAATGTCTGATTATGGCATACAAATATCCTAAACAATCAAACATATGTATAATAATTTTTAATAACTAAACACAACTGGCTTCAAATCAACATAGACATAATAATTAAGAAAACTAATTTTGTTGAATAAGACAACCCTATTGATCCTTGCTTCATGATTTTCTATACTTGGTATTATCCCAACTCCATTCCAAAGAATAAACGCAAGATATTAAAAACAAAAACAAGTATTTTCAACATAAAATAAGAGATTAGCTCGATGTTGGTTTGATATTGTTTCAAGCATCATGAAGAACATGCATGAATGATGATCATGGGAATAGTTACAAACATGTATATTCATATCATCATGCATGCATTTCGAAATATCACACTAACTCTTCACCTTATAGGTTCGTTTTCTCGGGTTTCCTTAAAAAGAACGAAGCCCGAGAAATTACGAAAAAAACAAACACTTTTCGAATCATTCCGTTTAAAATCTTAACGACGTATAGTATTCCACTTGGAAAAGATAGAAAAGAAAGCAATTGATAATGCATCGAGTGCAAAAGGAAAAGGAAAGGCTCTCTTGGGATTGCATGCCATTGGTTAAAGGGATGAGCGTAGAAATGAAATGAAAATGTATAATAATAAAGAGAAAATGGTTGCGTTCGTGCGAAACAAAGCTAACTTTAGGCACAAATAATGGAGAGAAAAAAAATTATAATGCGTAGGAAGAAAACTTTTAAGGCAATGCAATTATTAGAAAAGAAGACATATAATAGTGGGTATTTCATCATGAAGTGTAAGGCAGAAGCAATATAATGCAACAATTATGAACAATTTTAACCCTCACACACTTCTAATGAACATTTAAGCAGTTTCCATTCATTAATTGAAGTAACATGTATGGATAATACCTAAAATTATCACATTTCAATAAGTGGCTACACCTATTCTAGGCGGCCTTTTTCGATCTGTTGAAACTGTTTAGCGGAGAAGTTTTTTTTTTTTTTTTTTTTTTTTTCGATTATTTTAAGGTTGTCGTTGCTTAGGTTGTTCGCTATATGGTGTTGAGGAAGAGTTTTTGGTTTGGTTCTGAAAATGGGAAAATAGCAACCCTTCTTCTAAGTTTTAGGTTTATGAAGTGTAATGTTTTTCATTTTTTCTAGGTTTTGGGAAAGGGAGCGGTTGTTGGTTAGTGTATGTTTTATGCTTTCTTTTTTGTTACCACCCCAAAAAAAAAAAAAAAAAAAA